GTCAGCCTTGGGTGAGTTACCAGCTCTCTCCAGGACCCCTTGCCTATCCAAGCGGGAACACAATTCGGAGAGAGCTGGTAGAACAAATGTACTGGGGCAGACGGTGGCTCAGCACACCTCGTGAGTGAGAGTGCTTGGAGACGGCATCCGGAGTGGTCTTCAGCACGCCCAAGCTGCCTATCTTGACTCTCTCCTCACTGGGGAAAATGCAAGGCCATGATTTTAAAGTCAACAAATCAGTATCTATCTAGGCTGAAGCAAGGGAAGAGATGAGTCCAATTCGAGCATGGTCACTAGAAAGCTCAGCTACAAGCCAAGCGCATCTGGGACTGACGCTTCCACACCTAAAATCAGCTCCTAGTTGATAGCATACAAGGCAGTCCACTATAATCACCGTGGCTTGTCAGCCTGAAGATAAGGGGACTTTCTCAAATTTGCTGTGAAGTCTCTTTACTCTTAACTAGAGCATTATATCCAATTCCTGTGTTATCTGCCAAACTGAAAGTATTCTATTCTCTTTGAAGTAGTTTCTCCTTCCTGTCTAATCAAGGTAGCATTTCTTGCTGCTAAAGTAAATGCAGAGCCTTTGATGGACTGACTTTGTCTAGCGATAGCACATTGTTTAATTTAGGCACCAAACCTTCCAGAGAAATAGGGGGAAAGAGAAAAAATGCCACGCACAAGGAACCTGGTTTATTCTAAGAATGGGCCCCACCGTGTCTTGCCCAGTCTCTGCAGAGCTTGAAAAATGACTGGTTTTAGGACACAGAAAATGGTGCTAGACCCCGGGGACTCAAAGATATGAATGGGGGGCAGGACTGTGCCCTCAGATGGTTCTGATCTGTCCATTCTTTCCCAGGACCAGCATCACTTCTTGAGAAAGGCCAAGGGCTCATTTTCCCCTGTATGCAAAACGAAAACCAAACTCTGGTCAAATGACTCTTAACAATTAGTAAGACTATACATTGTAAAGAACATGGAGCCACAGTAGATTAAATATGAATTTAAGTAAAACACCTATTTCTGTCAATCTGTACTTATATTTCAACATGGGTTTTAGAGATGGGAAATACATCTTACGAATGCCTTGTAGTTCACATAATAGCATCTACACACACATACACAGTGTATCTTTCAACATAACTACACATACACACTCCATTAAAAAAGATACTGACAGATTTAGAAAATGTGTTGGCCTTGCACTGTTAGTCTCAAGAATACATTTTTCCTTCATTTATTTTTGCACCGCACGGTAGCTCTGGCCACCGTGAAGGATCTGTCAGCATTTCCATCATAACTCTATTTGCAGATACCGGAGTACAAGTGCCCAAATCCATATTTACAGTTTACAGACAGCGGTGGCTTTGTCTTCCTCTTAAATGGACTTCTTCAATGCATCTTTACACGCAATATCCAGGGACGGCAGTGACTATGTGATCAAAAGCATCATGTAAAACAAAAGGGGTCAGAGATGTAGACTTCCAGCCCAAGATTAAACTAAACCATGGGATAGGGGCTCAACGTTCACTGCACCTGGAGTTGTCTCTACATCAGAGTCCCCGCTTGAGAGCCACAGTCTGAAGCAACATTTTAGGACATGAGCATGTGCGTGTGGGCTGTACACAGCGTTAGAACACAAAACGAGAAAGGCGGGACGCAGTGCGCATACAGATCGCTTTCAAAGTGCGAGAAATGAACACAAGCCACCAAAGACGAACGCTGACCATTTCCAGCACCGGACATCCAACTCCGTTACCTGGGTACAGTGAAAACATTTAAGGGCAAAGTCTCTCGTAAACCAATGTTAACTATTGTTAATGTGTGGGGTTTGAAACGCACGGTACGTGGGACGTCATGCAGGCCCGAACTGTGAACTGTCTTTCTAAAAGGTTAGCTGGGTTTGTAAAAGGTATGAGCAGAAACATTTTTTCGGTGGGAGAAACATGTTAGTGGAAGAAAACCAATTTCATTGGCTCTTTCCACAAAAAGGTGAGTAATTATTCCGATCAGAGAGACTGGCTTAGCAATTTAAAAATGTTCAGAACGCTCTTAGGAATTTTTTCTCTTAGAGTTTTTATCCCCGATCTTAAGTTTTTACACTTCTCCCTACTTTTTGACACAATACACAAGCATATAGACACACCTCTTTGTCTGCATAAAGGTAGAGGGAAAGGTGGACATTTTTGTTTCTGACATAATTGCTCTATGCTAGGGGAAGCATCCCCTCTCATACATAATCCTGCTGCAAAACCAGAAGCAAGCCCATTTATAAGGGGGGAAAATGTTCTGTACATATATCTTTCCCCCCTCAAAGTACTGGAGGAAAATGTAAAGAAAATTTCTCAGACTCTGGCTGGCTCAAATCATATTCACATTCACCCAGTTGATTTTATTTGAAACCTATCTAAGAAATTAAACCCTGCCATTTTCCCTTTGTGCTTAAAAAAACCAAAGCCACCATCAGGAAACACATGTGCCAAATATACTTTTTAATAGGTTTCAATGGTGTTTATAAACATGGCAGAACTGAGGGGGTTACCTGAAGAGAAGTATAACTATTTGAAATTAACTGAAAGGGGATTTATTATTTCCGCATTTAAAGATTCGGTAAGAGTAAGAATACAACTTGCAAAAAATCAACAATGTGACCCTCACTCTATTGAAATTTGATGGAAAACTCATTTTGCTGTCTCGATGAGGATTAGTGGATGGGTAAGTTTTCTTGAATTTTGTTATTAATATACAAACTTCCATTCTGACGATATTCTGAAGACATCCGCTTTATTGCCTAAATTTTAGGTCTAAAGTTTATCACTGTAATAGCTTCCCTTCTCATTGTCCTTTTTTGTTTGGTTGCTTATGTTACCTAGTTTCCTGGTAAGTGGTCAGAGGAATGAGAAAAATCTTCACACTGTCAGATAATTACCGCACAACTTAGTTACAAAAATAAAAATGGCCTCAACTACATATATACATTTCTAGTTACACTACACAGATATTTTAGTTAAACCACATCCATTTCTGGCTTAATGAGAATATGTGGATTAGCAGTTAGAAATGTTTAAAGATTTCTAAATTTTGCAAACAATTCATGTAAGCATACCCTCCCCTTTCATCCGCAAAGTTAAAAAAACGAAACACAACTAAAACCACACCTAAAACCACACACATCAGTCACCTAATGTCCACAATGACTCCAAAAGTTTCTCTGGAGTTAAACATTGAGCAGAGGACACACAACAAATGCTTCAAGGACTGTTCATGCCAACCATCAAGAATCATAACATTACCAAAAAAAGTACACTTGTCCTTGGGGAGGACGCTTCAGAAGTAATTTACAAGGAGCATGGCTGTATTATAATTTTTTAAAGGAAAAAATAGTGTCTTTGGATAGAAAAAAACAATGTAAAAAAAAATCCCCTTTTTAAAATGCAGAAATAACTTCATTATCAATCTGCATTTACGTTACTGCCCAAAAGAATGGGTCTGGAAAGACCATTTTCTGTACAGACACTAGTTAATCTCTGTATGAAAAGACAGCATCTGGCACGGGAATAAACAAGGGAGAGCCTAGAGACTGGTCTATTCGCACACATAGAGGCTTTCTTAAGGCTGATCCAGTGAATGAACCTTTGGATCCAGAAGTATTTCTTCATCTTCCTTCTTTTCAGTTGAGTTCCTAGCAAAAACTTGGAAGATGAGCTGTTCTCACTTGGCATATCTCCATTTATGGAGAGGATGGAATAATGACACCAAAAGGACTTTGAGTTTTTTTTTTTTTTCTTTTAAAAATAATTCGCTTTCTTTTGCATGCCACAGGACAGACTTCTAGTTTTAAAACAGGGTACATCAAGAACAAAAATAGCCCCCCCCCAACCATCTTTATTTTCACCAATACAAGAAATCCTTCTGGAAACATAAGCAAGTGACTAAACAGGATCGAACCACTGAATCTACAAGTTAATACATGATCTGTTATGGCAGAATAACCAAGAATTTTCCCCCAAAGAAAGATTTTAATTTTCCAAATATAAAAGAGTCTAAGAGGATCATATGTGAACAAAAATCTCTTATTCCAGGTTTTATGGTAAAGATGGATAACACACTGGCATCCGAAGAAAGCTGAAACTCTTACTAATAAATAGATCCAAATTAAGAATTTCTACAACATTTCTTTAGAAAACAGAACCAGAATTCTTTTTTTTTTCTTCTTTAAACGATGATCCTGTGGAATGCCTTTACTTCTGTCTTTATCTAATATTAGAACAGTAAAACAGACACAAGGATGTTGATGATAGCTCAACAGTGCTGGATGCAGGACGTTTACAGGTACACTTGTTTAAAAGTCCTACAGGTTTATTGACTAAGGCTAGACAACAATTCATATGATCCTATTTGGTGCATTTTCTACCATGGTCCAAGATCATTATATGGATACAGCCAAGGGCTGGGCCCCAACTTTCAGGAGAAAGACCACAAAGAAGAAAATCAGGGTGGCAATTTGGTCCCCCCAGTTGATTACCTGTGTCCTGGAACTGGAAAAACAAAAGGTGGCAAATACAGACTGCAACGAGTAAAAGGACTTGGAAAAGTTGGTGGAGAGTGGCACGGTATACGAGTAAGGTCACTGGGCTTGGGATGGCAAGGGCGCTGCATTGAAAGAGCATCCGCGGGACCAAGTACTTATAATGTCTTGTGGTGTCATTCCCTCAACGACTTTAGAATATCTGTATGCGATAATAAATAGATCAGTTATGTAATAAGGCAGTGTGTTGAATATGCATTCGTCCTGTGGAATGAACCACCACAGACAGAGAGATACATGATACCATACACATTCTTTAAGTTTTCTTGTGTTGTGTTTGATTTGTTTTCAAGGCTATCCAGGCTAACTCTTCCCGGGGATTTCCTTGGAGAGAAGAGTGGTCCGCTGAGGCTGGTTTGCTTAACCTCTCCTTTATCAAGAGATGATGACTGGCTTTAAAGAAAAATAAAGCTGAAGGTTGTTTGATTTTTATTTTTTCCCTTTTGGTTGCATCATTCTGAGTGTTTTCATATAAACAAACAAACAAAAAAATCACAACCAAAAAAAAAAAAAATAGTTTTTGATGCATCCAGTTGTTGTATCCTCAGGATGTTCCAGATGTTTCCAGGTAACTCTGTAGTTTACGGACTGTGGTTTTGTCCAGCGAGCAAAGGTCAAAATCAAATGTCGTGTTTGTGATATGAAAGTGTCCAGTTTCTTCTATAAGGTTCACGATCTAGGGAAGTAAAGAACACAAAGATTGGGCAATAAGCAGTGGACATCACAAGGCAAAGGGAGAGAGAGAGGGGAGGATGGTATCAAATATGGAACCAAGAGATTAATATTCTCCTTTATAACAAGAGGGTCCTATGCCCTGTTGGCATGGAACTTTATCCCTTAGCCAATTTGGTAAAAGCCAAAGGACGATTAACCCCTTGAAATCCTCTATCAGAGCTGATTACCTGTTCTCCTCTTTCATAGCCTTTAAACTGATTCCTCCTTTCAAGTCATCAACAGACTATTTTACTGTAAGGGTGGTTAGGGGGAGATACAATTTCAAGACCCTTTTAAAAAAATAGTTACTCAATGGATAGTGACTTGACTTACTAGATGTAAGGAAATTCCATCCTAGGAATAACAAAATTCCTTATAAAGTACACACCACACACACATATATAATAATCATTTTCTGATTATGTTATTGAAAACTTAGAAAGCACAAAACCCACAAAGGGAAAAAGAGAAACCATCTACTATCCCAGCCCCTGACGACCATGGGTAGTAACTAGAGGAAGGGGGTTGGACCTGTTTTGTTGCTTGATTTGGGTGCTGGTTACAAAAGATGCATTCGCTTTGTGAAAATTCAGCTAGCTGTACACTTTGTTATACCGCACCAAATGATTAAAAACCTGTATTTATTACTTACAGTCGTGTCCCGTTTAGTCCCTTGGATATTTGGGGGTATGAGTATCTATAAAAAGAAAAAACCTTTGTCTCCTCGTGTGGCCTAGTCCTACCTCATTTCTTCCCGTATGGGCTCCCACTTTCGTGGTGGCAGAGGTACTGCTTTGTCTTGCCTTGGCTTTCAAGAGGAGACTTCTAAGTTTCCAGTGTTAAGAACGAGGCTGGTCATTGGTTTGAGAGAATCTTTTATCATGTTAGTGTCTTTCCATTTTTATCTTACTCAATTTTATCAGAAATGGACGCTGTGCCGAGGTGGCATGGACTTGAGGGATGTATGTTGTGGGTAAACTGGGATGGAGGGGGGTAATTTTAGCAAGCTTTGTAGGGGAGAGAAAAAAACATCAGGATGAAAGAAAATATTTGCACAGAGAAAATGGGCAAACTCTTTTATTTATTTTTAGTTGTCTGTTACTCCCCTCCTATCACTTGCTTCTCATTCTCTTTAGTTCACCTTAAAACAGAGAACAATTTTAATTATTTAGCCTATTATTTATTCAACAGAGTTTCAGATTACCTAATTTCAGGTGGCAAACAGCAGAGAGGAAACTTCTGACCCTCTCTTCTTAGAATTAGTTTTCTTTAAAAAATGGTAAATTTGTGAACTATTCCCTATGTGTAAATGGCTCTCAACAGGAAATGTGCTCCCCATTCCTGACATATTTGACTTCCACAGAAGCATAAAAGATATACTGAACCCCAACCCAATTAATTGCCCAGCTCCAGACTGAGCAGCTATTGCCTTATTCAATGTCTGGAACTCTTTTTTACAAATAGAACTATGGGATCATCATAAAACAAATTACTCTCACTGTGAAATCATCATGACTGATACAGCAAACTGCCTACCTATTATCCTTTTATCCTCCCCCCCCCCCTTTTTTTTTTAATGAACAGAAGCCTGATTTTTCTGGAAGTAGCCACAAGCCCAGCTAAAACACTTGCCTCCCCAGACCCACTTGCAGCATTTGGCAGATACTGCTACTTCCTACTTATTTGTCAGAAGTCACTGGGATTTCAGGACCATTTCTGAAAAGGTTGTAGACCATGAGTATGTGTTTTCTGGTCTCTGTCCCCCCCTTCCTGTCTGGAATAAAGATGGAAACCTATCTTCCCCTCAAGAGGATGAGTGCAAGAGGGGAAAGATGGAAGATCAGGACAGCATTGAGTCTATGTCCTCAGTAACCTCTTACTTACTTTAAACCACTGGACCCAGGCTTCTAGCTCTAGCTCATGCATCAAGAGACTACCAGAAAGGGTGTTCCCCATTATGGTTAAAGTACTATATTCACATAAGATAAGAACTTATCAAGCAAGAGCTTATTAACGCTAAAAGATCTAAAATGGACACTTGTTTATCAGTTACTAGTTACCGAGCTTTGGTAAGTAACCCACACACAAACTTTTCAAGGCAATCAAATACTTAATTCAACTGATGCTAAAGACATACTAACAGTAGTTTCCAGAGTAAATTATCTTTTTTGTGATACTATAAAAAAATACGATAGGACTAGGGAATATGTGTAATCTTCAGGACAGAAAGAGATAGGCTTTCAACGTACACAATGAAGGCCAATAACAATTCTCCCAGAGTGTGACCTCTCTCCCCAACGAGCTGGCCAGGAGGGGAGCGCCCAAGCAACCGGAACAGACTCCTGGATTTCGTGTATCAGTTCTGACTCAGCTCACTATCTGAAGGACACTGCACAGAACATGATAACCTGAGCCTCCATTTCTTCTTCACCTACAAAATGGGGACGATGACTCCTGTTCTAGTACACAGGGTTGTGCAAAGGATCAAATAAGATAATAGGATAAATAAAGCTTCTTTATAAACTAAATTGCTACACAGATCAGGGCAACATGATTATGATTACCGTATAAATATAAATGTATCCTTAATGATCTGGGAGGTAACTGTACAGCACATGGACTATTCAGACCCAGCGCTTTTTCCACCTCCCCTCATTGACTGTTAGCCATTTCATTAGCACTAAAACAAATGAAGCAGGGAAAATGCCAGAAGCTAAAACTCAGAAAAGGCCTACTTGAATTTAAAAAAAAAAAAACAAACAATTATAATGAAAGTTGCAGGGGTAAGGGAAGAGAGCAGGGAGGACAGGAGAGGAAGGAGAGTAGTTACATCACAATGTGGGGGTAAAGGATAGTCCTAGATTCTCCCTTTGAAATGGTAACTCACTCCTTTAAGAAGATAGCTTTCTGTGACTCAATATAGCTGCTGACTAATTACTTAACAATACGTAGAAACCAGAGCAGTAAAAATACCTTGTAGAAAAAGACACTTGATTCTAAAGCAAATAACCCCACTTGCCCACTAGGAAACGGGGGTGTCTCAGGTGCACCGGACTGTCCGGTAGGTTTCCAGTGCTCGGATGACAGGCCGCCTCCCTCCCCCACATGCGGCCCCGCGTCCCCCCCAACTCCTGCAAACACACAAAGAAATGAAGGGGATCCGATCAATCTCACTAAATGAGCCCCATATTTTTATGGGCGCTTGTAAGAATACATCAAGGTAGACGCAGAGACAGCCTTAAAGTAGTATTAATAGCAGTGGCAGCAGTCGGGGCGTTCGGGACCATTTGCCAAAGGGAACGGCATTAATGACTCGAATTACTAGAGCATGTACCCACGTCCTCAATTAAGTAAAGACTTCATAAAGAAAAATAAACGTGGGTTCCTTTCCAGGAACCCTGATAGTGAGAACATCAGAAGCACGGCATTAACATGCCTTATTCCAATGACACAAGCCCCAAAGCCTAGAAACACCCCACTGGTCCCCGAAGGATGCCCCTCTGCCTCGCTATAGGAACCGCCTTGCTCTGCCCATGTGGCGGGGCTCTACCTTGCTGTTGTCAGCCCCCGTCATCCTGCAATAAGGAATACCTCCCCCAAATAAGGATAATAAAAGACAGAGTGCTGTAGATAAGAAAAGGCAAGGATACATGGTGTAGATACTTAGTGGAAAAGGAAGAGTATCTCAACTGCACAACTCATTCTTCCCATCACGGTTATGGGGAGAAAACATTTGTGATGGGTTATTTCCTGTCACGTAAGCCTTTTAGGGGGTACCATGGCAGGCTGCCTTTTTTGTTTGTTTAAAAACAAAGTAAGGTCCACTTGTTAAATCTATGGCTCTTTCCCCAACCCTGGTTTTTAATTATAAAGAGGTGGATGCATTATTTCTAGTCTAATTATATTTCTTTAAAAATCAGAGTTCTTTCTGCCCAAAAGCAGCTCTTTCAGTGAAGAGAAGTAATGAACAGGCTTTGCTTTAACCACTGCTGCCTGCAGTGGATTCAGGTCTGGGAGATGTTAGGTCTTCCTGTAGAATCGCGGGGGCTACGGACAGGGAAGTGCTGTTTACGGAGGGACCACATGGGCCCTCCCCTGGGGGAGGAGGCAGGCCATCAGGATCCTGGCTGTAAGGGGTTCGGTAACATGAAGGCAATTTCCCAAGATGGAGATAATCTTCAGCAGAACACTTCTCAGGGAGGGTTCTCCATGATGTGAGAAGGAATACTCTAACATACCACTCATTTCCCATCTTCCTGAAGACAATTTTAAAAGTATAGTAGCTGTTATCTAAACTGTTAACCTGTCTTCTAAGGAAGCCCTTGTTCTCCTTAGAGCTTTTACTTCATCCTAAAATGCCAAACCCAGACTCAGAGCTCAATTGCTGGGGAAGGTGAGAAGTGCTCAATCTCCCTTTCCAAATAAAGGTGGAATGCAGTTTGAAGAAAAATCCAATTATTAGTCCATCCTCAGTACTCAGATCTCTGGGTTTGACTGTATCCCCTGTACTGTATTTTTACCTTAAGGGAAAGTGGCGAAGAACACAGGCTCTCTTGATCCAGGGCTTTCTGCTCATTAAGCTAGATGCTGGGTGTCCCCAGAGTAAAACAAAGACATTAACCACTTTTTGTGAGCCAAATAAAATGGTCAGACCAGAGTTTTTGATAGGACGTGTTTAATACTAGAAGACTTCGGATGTGATCCTGGCCTCACCAGAAATATTGTCGCAGGTGCTCAGGTCCGCATGGCGGAGAGTACGTCGACTTTGCGGAATGCATTCCGCGAGATGAGCAGCTCTCGAGGTGGAGAATAACATTAGTCCTCAATAGTGCTATGTTTTACAATAGGAATTAATTAAGCAGTAAACCGTGACAGTACATGCATCATGGTATCATAATCACAAGCCTCAGCTGCATTACAAGGCAAAAGGCCAAAGACTGAGAGCTTTCAACCGGCCTGGGAATGCAATTAGGCTGAAACGCTGTGTGTCCTGGAGCGCCTTGATGCCAGGCTAAAAATTCATAGCCATCACTCTCTCCCTCTAGGACACTAAAGTAATCCACTTCGCTAGAATTCTCGAGTAAGCCACCTTCCCTCACGATTCTTTCAAAGGTCAAATTAAGGGACAATGTGAAATCGAGAATGCCAATGACACCCAAGGTAAGACCCTGCCAAAGGCCTCCTTCCTCCACTCACTGGCTGGGCTTTCTTTGTGAAGGTGTCCCAACCCTGCCCAAATATCTGTTTCACTCTCCTGCAAGACTCGCTACTTGGACCCGGCTTGTGCATTAATAGCTTTATTGGACAACTGCTCCACAGTGGTTCAGAGCTGGTGTTTAAAAAGGGATAGAAAGGGATGGGAATATCAGCTAATAGATTTACCATCACCATTCAGTCAATTAACCCCACGTAATTGGTAAATGGCAAGCTGAACAATTTTCATTTCTAAAGAACGTTGAAGAAAGATACTAGCAGAGGACTAGGGTAATTCTTAGGGTAAACCACTCCAATCCGGCTCCCTTACCCATACTCGCTTAAAGGGAAATGCAAGAAATGCAACTCGTCCCAATTAAGAATCCTAGATCTGTAACAGTTTCGTTTAACTCTGAAACTCTAGAAGGGTTTAAAAAAAAAAAAAAAAACCTTATCAGACAAATCAGGCAACTTGGCAGGTTTGAGAGCGCATATTTATAGATTTCAGCAAAAAATGTACACAGAATATAAAAGTGACCATCAGCCATTAAACAAAAAAATAACCCACACACAGCTGGGGTAGATTAAGTACTACTTCAAGTCATTTGAAAGTAGTAATAAAACAAAATTCAAACAGTGAACTAATCTACAAACCCACCCTGGAATTTAGAACGCAACCTTCTCTTTGGGTGTTAAAGAAAAGTTATTTATCACCAGCCACTGTTAATGCAACAGACACATGTACTGTAACTATAGTAAAATTAAAAAGCACCCTTATCTTCACAAAACATCCAATTGTACTAATAGAAGTTTCCCCACTCCGCAAGTATTTCACAGTTGAGTTCATAAGAATAGATGTATGTTGTACAAGATAAGAGAAATGAGGAAAATATTTCTTTCCCTTCGAAGAGCTCTGGCAAAAGGTTACTCCATTGAATCACAAATGTTTATAACACTTGACTGAAATTCTTATCACTGTTTTCTCATGAAACTAGAAGCCTAGCCCCCAAGGCTTTTGCATTCCCACTCTCCCCCTCCCTCAGCCCACAGGCCAGTGTCAACCAGCGGATTCGGAGGAATCCGTGCATTCCAGCACCATCGCCTCCTCTAGTGACCCGGTTTTCCCCACCTGCAACACCAGGCGAGGGAGATCATCCACGCCGAGCTCCGGAGCAGACTTCCAGGTAGCCTCAGCAACGAGCACTCCTCCCACCCCCCAAAATACTTCTGCAGGTGGCATCACCCCTGCTGACAGCGCAGGGCTGGCGTGACCTCCAGGGGCTAGGACACGATCCCAGGATGAAGTAGGCCTTGCAGCTTCTGGAAACGGTTGTGCTACAATGCATTTCTCTCACCTGCTGCAGAATGTGTCTCTCCCTCAGCGTCATTAACCTTCTGTGAAGTTCTACCAGTTCATCTAGGTAGGCCTGAAAGAGAAGAGTATCCCCCAAAAGAACAAGCACTTTAGGAAGCAATCCAAAAATAACACAACAACTAAACAGGAACACACAAGCAGCAGCTGGAGGTTCCCCATTCTAGCTCCCTTCCCCAGGCTGTGTGGAGTCAGTGCCCAAGGCTCCTGCAGACTGAGTCTCTCCTGGCCAACTGTTACCCTTACAAAGCCGGCTTTTTTTACGAAGGGAAAATTCTTGTACTTATTTACTCTCAACAAGATTCAAGGGAGCGGACCCACCCTCTCCCAGTAACACCCTCTATAGGAAGAAAGGGTACTCAATGGTAAATTGTGAGTTGAAACGTATTAGCACAGACTTTTTTTTAATTCTTCCATCTCAGAAAATTAACTAGGAGAATAAAAGTCTAAATTTGAACATGGAAAGTATAAATGCACATAACCAATTATATCAGGACAAATTCTTTAAAAAAAAAAAAGGCTTTTCCAGTCTTACCTAACAACATCACCAACATCTTATGAAAGACAGGGATGACTGTCCAAATTAGCATGTGGTTTGTCAAAAGCTCCCCTGAAGGGGCAGAAGCGCACCTCTCTTTCCATATGCTCAGACTCCGGAATCTTTGTCTGCATAACTGCATGGGTTTTCCTAGTGCCGTTTGCCATGAAGGCAAAGGAAAGGCAGGTGAAGCTTTAGTCAGGCCTGCCTTGATCCCGCAAAGCACCTTATGACCCTGCCCACAACAGGAGACTAACCCCCAGCGAGTCTTGCAGTCAGATTTCGATTGCATGACGTACACCTGGAAAGCACACTACACTGGGATCAGGTGTCCCGCTCACTTAGGCTGTGATTCCCCAATCCTCCACCATGGTTTTCTTACCTCCCAATTCAATGTCCCCAAAACCCCTTGGCAATGCAGGCATCATGGCAAATGGTAGCATAAGGGCCCCGCATCCCACTGAAGATATAGGCGAGACTTGGAGAACCCGAGAAGAAGTGCTCATCATTTGGGGATGTGGGGCACTTCCGATGAAGACATGGAAGGAGAGCCAGCAGGAATGGTCAAGGGAGACACTAGGAAAGGGAAGCTAGTCAGTGCTAGAGCACTCCCAGGAACGCCCTGGAAACCTACCTTGTCACATTCACCATTCTTTATTTGCTTATCTGATTTGCTTTGCTTTATTGGACTTTTCACTTCAAGAATCTAGGGATCAAAGAGAACACTGGTAAATTTGATTTCAGGCACTTCGTAGCGAACCGGCCCCCTAAACAAAGGCACTTAGGCATGAAATGTCATACAATAATATCACTTTCCAAATAGCATTTCTCCTATGTTTTCTTTCTTCTCTTCTAATCTCACTCTTTCTTGGAAAATAAAGGACTTCTATCTGAAATGCTGAGTCAGGGCAATAGACTTAAAAAAAAAAGTTGACGATAAGGAAATTGATCGAAGCTTCCAAGGCTGCTGCTTTTTTGTGACAACACTCTCACACATATGCACAGCAGCTGAGTTATACTGGATTATAGTCCCCTCTGGCAAGAATTTTTTCTTACTCATTCTGCTGTTTCAGCATGACTACCAGTGCTCAGCATGCTAGGGATGATAAAACAAACACTCAAATGCCCTTTTTAGTACCTGACTTTCAGAGTTAAAAATTACTCAGATCCACTAACTGGATGCAGCCTTGGAAATGAAGATGGCCATCAGTTACACTGGTTGCTCCCACCTTGGGATCCTCCGACTCAAGAAATAAAGGGGCAGGACTATCTTCTGTGTCTCAAGAAATGATGTGTTTACCCATGATAAAGTACCAAGTGCCTGCCCTTCCATCTGAACCGATTACAGCTTAGGGTACGAACGGAAGTTTTGCGTGCTGTTTATAAGCTTCCGTGGGGAGCTAGGTTTTTAATGAACTAGAAGGAGACACAAATTATTATTTAATAAATGCAGTTGGTTTATTAGGGTCCTCAAAATTGAGGATTATAAGGGAAATATTTTTAAATGGGTCTTGTTTAAAATCGCTGAGATCCACTGAATTTATTGATGAGTGTTTACAAATGTATATAAACATAAAAAGCAAAGTAATTTGTCTTTTTCATGATAACCTCATTACCAAGTGAGTTATAATCAGAAGCTAATAATAAGGAGGAAAATACCAAATAAAGGATATATTTACGAAGTCTCATGTTCATTCCTACTGCTCTTCATTCTCTGCTCTGACACACACACACACACACACACACACACACACAGAGTTCTGTTCAAAAGTCTACCATATTCCATAACACAAAATGACCTTAAAATGAGTCCACTTTTAGTAAGTTTCTGATTGGGCTCGGAAACTTAGGTTCAGGTCCTGGCCCTATTATTTAAAATTTTTGGACCTCAAAAAAAATGAGATGAAATAAACAAGAAGAACATGATGAACAAGATTCAGCTGTAAAATGTTATACTACCAACAGTTCACCTGTTGGGGATATAGGACCATGACATTCTGGAAAAGACCAAATACTTTAAAAGGGTATATTTTCCTTTGAATTTAGAATAATGCATGGGTAAGAAGTGAGCTTCAACAGATCTTTCCTGAGAATTGCCTCTATTTCTTCATTTTTAACATTAAGATAACCAGATGACCAACCTGACCAGGCTCAGTCACTTAAAATACAATGCTCTGGGCAACACAAGGAAATTACTTAATCGCTGGGGCAAGGCAATCATTTTTAACGTGCTGCACTGTAAAGGAAACCCAACACTCCACTATATTCAGAATTTCCTTCTCTATTGTTGTTGGAAATGAGACCTCAAGGGGAAACTCCGAGCTCGGAGACCTAGGAGTAAGTAGGTCAGTAGATGGCACTCCTCGCCAACTCAGACACGCGGTTGGGCAAAGCAGAGACCGTCAGCCGAGATTCCAGGCCAGAGAGAAAAACAGCGCCTGCGTGCTTGCCTTGTGCATTAGAAAACTGAATTGTATGCCATCATATCCCTCTCTGCACCCCCCTTCACTGCACTCTGGGGGTCAAAGTGACTAAGGGCTCTACATTTGTAAGGCAACTCTGCTAACTAGGTTTAGAGAGTTCTACCACCTTCTCCTCAGAGCAGAAAATAGAACATTCGGGGCACTTAAGTCCCACCCTACACATTCCGTAAGTGCTCCAGCACAGAAGGCCAAACTACATTGAAATCCTAGTTTCTTTCTTCTGAAGCTGCAGTGGCAGGAACAAAAGCTCCGGGTGTCAGTGATCCGCCTCAAGTTACTGAGTGGCTGCCCAGAGAGGGCTCAGTTAATCTTCCTTCTTTGATCTCTCCCTGCTCCAAAATAAACAGCTTTGTCAAAACCTCATTCTGAGAGAGCTTGAGCCATGCTGAAGACAATTGTTTTATTTATGATCATTTCTTATCTTTAAGGAAACGACTCCAGAATATAAAAGTACAGCACCTTGTCTTCCATGGGCTTATTTCAAACCAGTTTAACTGGATGGACTCTTTAATTTCATTCAACATGCTTTGCAGGCTGAGAGGTAATTTATGATATTCTGAATATTAACTTGGGTCCAGTGGATCACTTCCTTCCCTCAAGGCCCCCACCCCCGCCCTTCTCATACATACTTTCAGCCAAAAAGGATCTGGAATTTTGATTTCATTTGAAACTCATGTAAGGGAGGTTTGAAGTTTAGTAATAATAGTAATACACATACACACACAGCCCTCTGATTAAAATGGCACAGCACTCACTATTATTCCCTATTAAGCTTTACTGGAGACAGCCACCCAGACTGCCAAGATGCACCATTTATACACATGGTAGTCCCCTAAAACAGAACTAAGTTGCACTTCGATCCTTAATCTGAGGCTATGGCTTGAGACTCAAACTTCAAAGATTATTATATTTCTGTATCCCTTTGAGAGGACTGACAACTCAATTATTCAGGAGATGGATTCTCTACTGATAGGTCTTTCATGTTAACGATCGCTAGTAGCTCCTAACAATACTCAGGTTAATTACTTGCTTTGTTGACATGTGGCTCTCTGTTCACTTTTTATCAATAGTTAGAAAATGTTTGACTCAATTAGCACTTTCTCTTTTCCCTAGTCCCTGGAAGACTTGAGAACGGGTAAGGAAAACTCGGCGTTGTCTCGTGATTTACAGAAACCTGAGAGATCATTATCAACTTGAAGACAGAGCAACCCAGGAAACTCATACTCTGAAGGCCTAACTGTGAAACAGGAAGTCTGTTTTCATCTATTTTATTTGATGTGAAATTTCAAATTATCACACATACATTCAAATAAAGATGGAAAACACATTCTAGGGTGAAATTCAGGGGACTTTTATATTTTTAATTAATTTTCACTATTCCACTTCACCGGCAGGGAGAACTAAGAAAGACTAGCTAATTTTTAAGAAGTCCTAAAACACAGACTTAAAGGGACAGCAACACACACCTGACCCGAAGCAGGTGATTTGAGGGGTTAAGAAATCAATACTAAACAAAGTTTTAAAACCCTTCTCTGCTCTCTGTTCCAAGACAGCAACAAGGAGGTAAGTGCTCTTGCGGTACTACACCTATTTCCTACCCTAGACTAGCTAAAAGTGAAAGCATATGGACTTTCTTATTATGCTTATAGGTGCATGGAGTAAGTGACATATAACTGAGTATTCCTGACAGATTGATGATTCACATGTGTGAAGCTACATTTGTCGAATAAACATATGCCAAGAAACCAGTGGTATGCTATCTAATTGGATAAAGTAATTTTTACCCTCACCAGATAGATGATACCATTCATTTTTTTTTAGTCTCGTTTTGCTAGACAGGTATTAAAAAAAAAAAAAAAAAAACTGACAAAGAATCCAAACCTTTCCCTGAAGCCAAGACTTGAGCCAAGTCAGCTCAAGCCTGCCTATCCAGGAAGTGTCGAGGGTGGTTTGAAAGGCAAGATGGGGGCTTTGTGGAGCTGCATTTATTTATCAAGCACAGTCTTAACCCCGACTGGGAATGAAGCTGAAGGGGCTTAAGGAGGGGCTTACCTAACACCCCTAACTCCTGACAGTGCCCTGCTACTGCCCGTAAGGGACCCTGGTTCTAACACACTCCCTACCTGAAGCGGAAATCAGGGTTCCAGAGGCTTAAATTAAATATGCAAATATATTCAAAGTCCAAATTCTAAACTTTGCCAGCTTATACGGAAGCACAGATTTACAAAAGAAACTCAAGTTATCTAGTTAGCCAGCCCAGGGCTCTTCCCAACTGATTGGCAGTGATGGTTATGCCCTTATTCTTCACCTGCCCCAGAAGTGCTTGATATGTGGTGGTAGGCAGCCATGTGAGAGGAGAGAGCCAAGGGTATGACTGGCACTGGAGCTGGGGAATGCAGGGATGCCGGGAGGTAGGGTAAGGAGTAAGAATGTACTAACTCCTTGAACAGCCAGCCAGTCTGTAACAGATGATGAGGCTGGGCTTGCATTTACATGTAATCCACAAAGAAACTGTATGAACACGGTGAGGCAGAGAACACTGATATTATTCCTACTCCATAATGAAGGCTTTAAGTTGCAGATAAACTTTATAAATGAGGTATTTTAAATTTTAAGAGATCTTATGCTTTATGCAAAATTTAAAAAGAAAATCTTCAGCTATAAAAATCACATTTCCCAGTAAAGCAAAGATCACAAATTCAAGGACAAGGCTGTTTAAAATTGTAGGACATCTGTGAAAGAGAATAATTTCAGAGAAGCTCAGTTCTTTTATTCTCAAGTTCATAATATTCATAGGGTAACGTGATTAAGCAATTATTTTAGAGGTCACAGGGAATCTGCCTAAACAAAGAGATAAGAACAGCTTACATAAATGAGTGTATCAACTCAATGCACTATGAGGCTTTTACAATATTCATGATATTTGAAATTAGTTTATTTTAGTATTTAAAATATCCCATTCTTTTTTTTTTTTTTTTTAAAGATTTTATTTATTTGACAGAGACAGAGACAGCGAGAGCAGGAACACAAGCAGGGGGAGTGGGAGAGGGAGAAGCAGGCTTCCCGCCAAGCCGGGAGCCCGATGTGGGACTCGATCCCAGGACCCTGGGATCATGACCTGAGCCGAAGGCAGTCGCTTAACCAACTGAGCCACCCAGGCGCCCTAAAATATCCCATTCTTAATCGTTTAACAAAAGCTCTTCATCATAGCTTTCAAAGTTTTGCCTAGACCTTATCCAAATAACTTTATTCTGAATTGACTATTAATAAGGCTTCCTTTTTGCTTGATTCATAACAATGATAATGACCATTATTTATTCTGCATTTTATTAACTATTCCTTACAATTTCAAATGATGACCCTCTTTTCCTGGATGAGCACACAGGGGCAGAGCACCTATAATAATAATAAACATCTACTCTCATCAACTGAGTGCCCAGTAGGCATGAGCATGGCCTCTTGCTCTTTACAAATACAGTATTCATCATTGTTCCAAGAGTCAGCAAGGCAGGTATTAATATCCCCGTTTATGGATGAGGAAACTGAGAATCAAAAGTTCAAAGTTAATTTCCCACCAGTACATTACTGTAAATTAGTAAAACAAAGAACCAGGCTTTATCCTAGCTCCAAAGGTTATATTCTTTCTAATTCATTAAATTAGCCTATTTACTGCTGAAGGGGGGAAAAAAAACCCCACAGGGATCAGGAGAAAATGAGCAACACTTTCTGTCACCGTCCCTTCCTGCGTCGATATAATTAACCCATCCGATGGAACACACTTTTCCCATGACAACAAAAGTTCTTTCACCCCAGCCATGTGTTTATTCCGAAGGTTGTAGATTCCCATTTATTTGATAGTGAGAGAAATTTTGTTTAAAATTAAGGGATAAAAAGTTTTGTGTGCTTTGTAAAAATGATCACACCTCGTTTGGCAGAGTCCTGAAGAGGGCAAACGCAGCAATTTACCTGGTTGTTGTTGGTTTTTAATAAAGGTGGCGGGGGTTCGTGATGTAGGGGTGAAGAAGCTGAGCTGCTTTCACTGTCGCTACCGTCACTTAAGCTAACTCTGAAAAGAAACAGAAGTCACACGCATCAGTCTAGACAGTTCTTGAAATATCTATGGAAATAGGCGCAGAGAGCAAGGAATCCAAACACTAATCACCGGAAACCTGGTGCAACTCCTACAACCGCTAACCCATAGTGGTGCTCACTCTGGGTTGGAACCGTGTTAGGTGTTTTAGCGCCTCTTTCTCACTTAATGACCCTTATTTCAACAGATGAGGAAACGGACTTCAACTAGGTCACCCGCCTACGGTCAAGAGGTAAAAGGGGCGGTTCTGGGATTCAAACCCAGGCAATGGTACCCGACGTTGGTGCTCAGCAGCTATACTGTACTGGCCCCATTTATTCTTATATCTCCCTGCTCCAACTCCACCCGCCTGCTATCACCAAGCATGTTACCCAAGCTGCCAGGTCAGCAAAATTAGATATTTTGTAGGTTATTACCCTTTAGTTTCCTTTTCCTCCTGCCTCTTTGCTGTGGGTGAACCCAGGCTGTGGGAGTGGAAGCCCAAGATGCTAGACCCACACCAACTATTTCTACCATGTAATGATTCAAGGCTGTCCCTAGTCTTGACCACTGCTACAATAATTTGTTGGAAATACACTTCAGCAACATGAAGAGACAGTGTGTTTGGGATAACTGCTTTCAAGAAAGAGCGTATCTTTCAACAACCAAAGACAATATAAAAACATCACCCCTCCCCTGTCTTTTTCCTTTCAGAACAAAATAGAATTTTCTTTGTAGCCAGGGTAGGAGATATTTCTTTATTCTACTCTACTGAATGTACACCCTCCTTCTGAAATGTCCTTCAGTGTTTGCTCTCTTTGGCTATACAGTCACCTAATATAATATTCTTTTCAGAAACAGAAAATGCTTTAGAAATCAGGATAGTTTTTCTTTTGCTCTGAATAGGCAATCACATTCCAGCTCTATAATATATTCAGATAGACAAGATACAAGATAGGAAATGAAAAGGATACGCTGGGACATCCTTTTAGCAAAAATTGATGGAACTTGTTTTTCTTAACTAAATTACATTAATGAAGTGTTCCGTTGAAGCGCTGCTTTAAAATGCTTCTTGACTGAAGCGGAAGGCTGAGTATTTAAACTGATTAAACAGTTGAGACTTCACAAGTGCAAGGAAGACCAAATGTTACATCGGCGCTGCTGTACTAACAGCACATGTCAGGTGGGGGGAAAGACGCGAATCTCCAACAACGGGGATCACGTCAGACAACGCACAAGCCTGAGCGATTTGACCCGCACCGACTCGGGGCAGGGGGCAGCAAGTGGGTGGGCAACGGCCAATCACGGAATATCCAGATTTTCTAAATAACAATAACTGGAAATTGGCTAAATAGGTCATGCATCTTTCATCAGGTAAATTTGAGAACAGCCAGCAGTCAGGATTTTGGTGGTTGTAAGTACGCTCACTGCCACGTTCCGGTCCATTTGTAGACCTGTCCTACCAGTTAGTTTCCTTCTTGTCAGATTCAAGAGTTCTAAAGGGAAATGTTATCACACCAAGGCGATAAGTCTCCTTATTTTCTTCTATTCAAAAAAAAAATAAAAAAAATATATATGTATATATATGGGTGAGTTTGGGAGACAAGGTGGAGAAAGAGGTATTGGATGTAAGTATTGATTATGGCTACAAGCATCACTGAGAGATCTGAAAAGGCGTATATACTCCGGGAAGCCCTTCTCAAAGAACACTAAGGAATTACCGATTAGTAAACATCCGATCTGTCCAGCTGGGACTAAGATGGTATTCTTTTGAGGAATTTTAGGGCCTTCCACACAGTAATGGATAATGGGAAAAGATTTAATGTGATGTATTATAAATTAATTGGATTTTAAGTTCAAGTAGATTCATATTTTTTCTACTCAAACACATTAAAGTAAGCATGCCTATTTGTTTTCCTCATGATAAAGAAAGAAAACCCTCAAGGCAATTTCAAGTTGACTATTAATTATAAGTGACATGAATTACCATCTTATAATGTGGAATTATGCCTCACAGCATTAAAGCTACTTAAGGAACCTAATTGTCAGCACACTTAAAAGGAATTTATTTGCTGGAAAACACACACAGGTGATCCTAGTTTTAATTAGGTCACACATAATTCACTGAAGCCAATTACGTATTTCTAACTACAAACAGCAAACACGCTTCCTCAAACTCTGAAGCTATAGCAATGGATCTACACAAACTCTTCAAATGAAAACGGAGTTGATTTCAGCAGTCAGTCCTGCTACCTTGGCATAGACTTTCAAAAACAAGAACTCCTAGTAGGATGTTTTCCCTATAGAATTTTCAGAGGAAAAAAACCTCTGCTTTCTGAGAAAAGGGATACACAGTTCCTTGGAGAGAGGAATAAAAGCATGCCTAGGTGACCCAGCTTAAATGAATGTGACCATTTTCTGTCACTGTTTTTGGTGTTGCACACCTTTGCGGTGGTCATATACTGGTAAGTTTGGGGAAAAGGCATGATTCCATAACAGGGAGCTGCGTTCCTGCCAAGACACACTCACCTGCGGCTTCGGCTGCCTCCTCTATTTACAGGTCTCTCCATTTCGGAGTCATTGTCATTATCCTCTGCCTCATCTGATTCCTCCTCATTGTCATCGGAATGCAGATCTTTCATTATAGACCTTAAAGGACCTGAGGAATGACGGTGTACCACAATCAAACACACGACTTCATACACATTTAGTCATACTGGACACATGGGACTGCTATCCAGCACGGAACGTTGGCCAAAAAATCAAAAACAAAACAAAACAAAACCAAAAAAACACCCCCACTATCATATATATTTATACAATTGACAAGACATATTTGGTAGTTTCTGGACTGTAACATCTAAACGAAACACTACTGTTTTCACAACAGATGCCCCAGGATGTTCACTGGAAAATCTCTATTTCCTAGGAATGTTTTTCTATGTATTTTTTTCTTCCCTAAGAAAAATTACACCTAAAAAGGAACAGAAAGATCTATTAGTAAATTGAATGTTTTGTTAGGTTAATCCATGTATTGAAAAGTTGAAGCTAATAAATCACCGTGGTTGTAACTTGTTCTTGGCAATGCAGCCTTTGTGTGGTAGTTTTTGATCTATTAAGGTTTAGCTGTTCCTTTTATTTCAAGGTCAATTTCAGGTCAAGCAAGCATTTCAGTCAAGTTCAGATTATGAAGTATTTCAATTCCATGGTGTAATGTCCTATCTCTGATCTTCATATTGATCTTGGACACAAGGTCTTGTTCAAGCAACAATTTTATGCAGCCGATTTTTATTTTATCTTTTAAGAAATTCCTGGCAAAACACCAGCATATATTTGCATAAATAAAACCATGTAATAAGTCAGGTGCCCAGAAAATTCAAGAGAGTATCCAGTATTAGATGGGAGAGAAAAAAAATTTAAGTCATAACTAGTTTTATTCTAGAACAGGACATAACTGGGGAAAAAACAAAACCAAAACCAAAATTCAGCGTGGCTTATTTTCACTTGACTGTTCTAAATGTGATGAAAACAAGATCACTCTTTTTTATGTTAAAGAAGAGATTATGGAGGCAATCAAGAAAGTGAGAGAGGCACTTTTATTCTGGATTAGGCAATTCCTAAAGCCTAATCTAGGACATGAATATCTGAGTTCTCACTAAATCGGCTCTAAAATAAGTATTGATTCTCTGCAATCTCAGACTTTGCAAAACCCAAATTTCTCTACCTTTGGAAGTCAGTGTAACAAGAAATCTGATTAGCCAAAATGGTCAGTTTTATATATATAATATATATAAAATATATATAATATATATAAATATATAAAATATATATAATATATATAAATATATATTATATAAAAAATATAAGGAAGCTTAGCCTTAGCCCAAATACATACAACAATTTAATCCTTTTCAAAACATACAAGGCCATCAGAAATTGAGTATGGTCCATGAAAGAGGTCATGTGCAACATGATGCTCAAGAACAAATTATTCCTTCATATGATCTCACTTTTCATGTTAAAAAAAAAAGGGGGGGGGGAGACCTTACTTGAAGATTTGCACACACCAAAAAGTATAAAATATATATTTAATGTTCTGGCTTAAACTTCTTTATTAGATTTCTTTCAATTTAAATTTCTTTAAGCTCAAGCAGAGGGAAAATAAATTTTAAAGACAGCAAACTAACACTTGCCAAAGAAAACAGGTCTATTAATCTGCAGAAAAAAAATAAATAAATAAAATGAAAGACCTCCAGGAGGGAGAGTAAAAACCTATTTCTCTATGTCAGAGCCTCTCAACTCCAGCTTTTGCTATTGTATTTCCTTTGGGAGCTCCCCAGAATGGGCTGTGTGTGTCTATAATCCTTTTGTAAAATGGGACTCTGATGGCAGGGACTGGAAAAAGAGGAATTTCTAGAGGCCCGCCTCATACATCAGAACAATACTCAAGTGCATGCCTAGGGGAAATAAATACAACTGCATAAAAGCCAAGTTATCATTCCAATAATAAAACAGTAGAAAACAGGCCATAAATCAACTCATTAAGATGTTTTACGAGGAAAATGTCCCATCGTTTGCCTGGGAGATACTGATACCTTGTTGCCGGGGCTGGGACGGTGTGAAGCTGGAGCTGGAGCTAGAGCTGGAGCTGGCAGGGCTGGGTTGTTCAGACTTTAAAGAAGAAGAGAAAGCCATCATCAATAAATTTATGGGACACTACACATCTAAAATTAAAGAACAACATCACTGCTCAAAAATACTTTGCTCTGCAAAAACCATCCGATGCTGTGCAAGAAAAATGAATACACATTGCATTATGCCAAAAACAGCGACACAGTAGAACCACGGTATCCTTTTTGTTTTGTCCACCATGTTTTTACTAGATGCAGAAACAAGTATATAAACTCAAGGATGATAAGACAAACACCTGGGTGTTGGCACGACGGATTTGATTTCACTCCTGTTTGCTGCTATCCAAATCTCTTTCTAAAAAGATTACCTTGATTACCCTTTCTGCAATCTTTGATTGACTCAACTGGTTAAAACATAGTGGTAATGAGGCCAAGGTCATTAGTTCAATCACATTACGAGCCAGTTAATTTCACTCTGGTCCAAGGCCATGACCCAACTCTAACCCCATTCATCCACAGTTCACAAATGGAGGTAATGTTCACAAGGAGATCTGGCCAAGTCCCACAAACGAGTCAATGGGAAATACTGCCACTACTTCAAACACACACACACACACACCACCCTCTAAATCCACAGCCTATGTATGCAGGTAAAGAGCATCACACACATGCCCCACTCTCTCACCATAAATTCTCCTCATCCCCTAATACCCAGAACAAGGTCCACATCCTCCTTTACCTGTCCAACTCACAGTTGTCTTCCTTCTCCAAACCCACTGAAAATGTGGATCTCATCTGTTTGCTTATCTGATGTGCTGCACTGTTATGCTGCCTTTGATGTGTGTGTTTCCTCTCCAGTAGACTGCAGGGACTTGAAAAGGCAGGGGTGTGGGGGTCTGTCTTGTGCTTGTTATCCACTCATACTTAGCATAATGCACTGCATACAGCAGGCACGCTGCATCTGGGACTGAAGGCAGAGCATTAGGTCCTCTCCTCTACCTGCCAGTTTTTATGAGGCTTTACAGTAGGTAAAGGTGGGAAGAACAAATACATGGACAGAAGTGTGCAAAGAAATTGATCATACCATCAACACACTTGAATTTTACGTATTGAGGCCAAATTGAAAATAACTTAATGTTGGACTATTTCTATCCCATTTCTAATGTGCTCAGAGTCTCAACTATACACTTGTTATTTGAGACATAGATGAGGTCTTTTCACATACAGGACATTATCTTTCTTCTTTCGACTTCGCTCATTGGATGACCCAAGTTATCGGGGCCACGTGGAAGACAAACTAAGAGCACCATCAGAAGCCACTAAATGAGGAGGAGAATCTCAGTTCAGTTGATAATGCAGTTTTCTCACCACAGATTTTTTTTTTTTTCATCTCCCTTCTCAGCACTGAATCCCAACCCCCTTCTCTGCAAGCAACACCGAGATCCAGCCTCGGACACAAGGAAGCACTTTCAAGCATTCCTAATGCACACTTCACATCCTCAGGCTGGATGGGAAAACAGGTGTCAGCAATCTACCACTCATTCCGCAGGAAAAGAGCCAGACAGGATCTCTAATGAGCGGCAGGCGGCCACCAACCCTTTACCACTGCAAGATTTACTTGAGCTTTGCAGTACAACGTCCGACACATTGCTGTCTGTGGCCCACAAAGAAAAGCTGGTTTACAAGCACAAACGCCTGTGTGAGGGACTCTTCATTTCTGTTGAGTGGCTCTTCCACTGTTGAGCCACAAAAGTGAGCTACACACTGCAAGGGCATTCAGTTAGCAGCTATGTGCAATGCCCAGCTGCAAAACATTTCTCCTCTCCAAGTTGCTCTTTTCAGCCATGAAAAGTGTCTGCAAATGGTATTATTTTGATAGCTCTGGAAACCATTTGGGAGCCAAAAAAGAGGTTTCCTTACAGTCAGTGGAGAGAGCTCTAATTCCCCCTCCTGCTGGACCAGTCATGTTGCACTGGACTTAAAGGAGCCATTCTGCCAGAGCTATTTGCTGAGAGTGACACTAATCAGGAAAGCAAGAGGGGATGGTGTCCATCTCCCCAACCACCCCATGCTAAACTTGATCCATCTGTCTCAAGCCTCATGCCAATGCCAGAACCAAACCTGCAGGCAGCCTTCTTTTAGCTTCTTAACCACAAACAAGGTTAGTAAATCCAGTTACCAACCCTCAGAAAATTGACGAAGAGTAAAGAACATAATACAACAGGAGAAAAAGGCTTTCATTCAATGTTTATCATTACCACCATGCCTGATCCACAAAGCATTTAAGGTTTATGGTAGAAGACACATTAATTCACCGACAATATTAAAAGAGAAACTTTAAAGCAACAGAGGTGAATGGAGAAGGATAAAATGTTGAATGGTGGGCAGCAAATCCAATATCCTGGAAGCTTTTTGTAACCAGGACAAGGATTTGTGGTTTTGGAGCCAAGAAGACCCCTTGGGATGATCAAAGACAGGGAGTCTCACAATTTCATGGGCATTAGAATTACCTGGAGGACTTGTTAAGACACAGACAGCTGGGTCCCACTCCAGAGTTTCTGAGTCAATAATTCTGGGATAGGGATGAGAACCTAGATTCCATAAAAAGTTTCCAAGTGATGCTGCTGCCACTGTTCTGGGGACCAACCAGACTTTTAAGAACCAATGATCAAGGCTCCAGAGATTTGCAGCCATGGATATTCATCAGAATCAGTCGGGGGCATTCTATACATAAGGAAATTCTGATTAAGTGGGTTTGGTGTGGGGGGTCCAGGAATATTTTGTTCAAACAAATGATATTAATGACAATTCCAAGTAAAACACCACTGATACTATGTTAGTCATTTCTTTTCCTCTAAATGCAAAAGCATGTTTTGGAAAGAATCACAAATCCAAGAAAGTGTAAGAGAAAAAAAAAAAGCATCATGAGAAAAATTAGAAACTTACTGATGTATCCAGAAGTAGCATCCCTGCATACTCATCAAAGTATTTTGCAAGAGAACACCCGGAAAGAATGCATTTACCTCTCAATAAAAACATCTAAGAAGCATGTACAAAATCATGTCATAGTGGATGGACCTTAAACTTACCTAGCCAGACCAGGACAGAATTCAACTAAATGGTAACTGTTCAAAAAGCCATTCTGCTACTAGATGAGGGTGACACAGTCTTCTATTTTATCAAATCCAACCGAACGGAGCTGTTGTTCACTTTCAGTCTGTATTTTATTTGAAAATAAAATCATATTTATTCTCCAAAAATGCCAATCAAGGATGATTTTATAACCTAGAAAATGCTGTTTGGTTTATTTTTTAAAATATTCACCATAAACAGAGCTAGAGTAAGGTCTTTAAAGTACCCAAGGACTGAAAAGATTACTGCATCCTCTTTTCCCCTCCTTATGTGTATATGTGCCAAAACCTAAATATAGGGAACTTCAACGAGGTTCTGATTTTTCCCATTACTAATTTGATACTTGTTTTTGAAATATCAAAATTCTCCCCACTAAAAAAAAACTTTTGACTTCTTCCTGTTGATGCCCAAAGTCACATGTTTAGCTTACCTCCTGAGTAATCAAACACTAGACATGAAGTGTCTTTAAATGGCATTCTCCACAGTGACAAAAGTCTAGTCTTAAGAACCTCAAATTCGGGAGACAAACCTTAAGAGACTCTTAACTACAAGAAACAAACTGAGGGTTGCAGGAGGGGAGGTGGTGAAGGGCTGGGGTAACTGGGTGATGGGCATTAAGGAGGGCACATGATGTAATGAGCACTGGGTGTTACATGCAACTGATGATGAATCACTAAACTCTACCTCTGAAACTAATAATACACTACATGTTAATTAAGTGAATTTAAATTAAAAAAAAAAACTCAAATTCTATGACAATCACTATCATATCAAACATTCATTGAGTGTTAAAATTTAGAAATCTCTCACCTTGCCTGCTCAAGCCTTTTCCCAATATCTAATAAAAACCTGACTTTATTCAGATTTAAAAAAAAAAAATCTTAAGTTCTATTGCTTACTGTGTAGGTTTTTGGGAAGACTGCTTAGGCATTAATGTCCTCATACAGTGAGGGCACTGAGCCTCATGTAGAAGTAAAGTAAAACCTCCTAGCCCTCTACTCTTCCAGTGGTAGCTAATCAACATTTGGTTGCTCCTCTTATTTACAATAGACCACATACTCCTCTTTTGCCTAAAACAAGATATATCTTTACTACCAAAACAATGGCCTACCAAGATTTGCAATGGAATCTTCAACATTAAATGGCTATGCAAAATCACTTTGTAATGGATTTTCAATGGAGGATTATTTTTGTCCAAGACAAGTAAGAAAAACCACATGTTTACAACTCCTACAAGTTAAGTGCTTCAAAAGAGAACACCTATCAAGGCAGGTCAGGCGACAGGGCTGGTAAAATCTGGCATTGTTTCTTAACACTGGCAGCAGGCTTCCTCCTTAGGTAATCAGAAGATAAAAGTTCCATCTTTTCTCACAGGCAACATATATTTATGACCAGAATTTCAACTGCATCTTTAAAACAATCAAAATAAAGAAAAAGGGGAAGAATAACGTACACCTTTTTTTTTCTTCAGGGGAAAGGAAGAGAATACAGTCTAAGCAGTTAAACAGAGATTATTTTAGACACATTGCTATATTTTTTCACAAAATTTCTACGTTGTTTAGAAAAAGAAAACACATAGCCTGCAATAAAAATTCTTTTTTTTGCACAAATATCCAGAAAGACTATGTCAAGGGTGAGTACTAATCAAAGAAAACACAAATGTAAATATACTTTTATTTACGTCTCTATTTAATTTCCATGACTGAGCTACTAGGTTCTTGTCAGTTTAGTGCTTCCTTCACTACAAATTAATAATCATCTGACACTTTTTTTTTTCTTAGCATATAGTATCATTTAAAAGACTGTCTCATTTACAATGGATGTGGACTGAATTTACAGTGGCAGTCATTTCACAATATACACATTTATAACACTGTATTAGCTTAAGGTGTGTAACTTGATTTGATA